TGTTTAGAAACCAAAAAAAAAAAAGCACAAAAGTAATGAAATTCTTCACAAAGAATTCAAGCATGATCCTCACTAGGCGGGAGACACAGGTAAACTTAAGCACCTTGTGCTAAGAATTCAAACATGATCCTCACTAGGCGGGAGACACAGGTAAACTTAAGCACCTTGTGCTAAGAATTCAAACATGATCCTCACTAGGCGGGAGACACAGGTAAACTTAAGCACCTTGTGCTAAGAATTCAAACATGATCCTCACTAGGCAGGAGACACAGGCAAACTTAAGCACCTTGTGCTAAGAATTCAAACATGATCTCACTAGGCGGGAGACACAGGTAAACTTAAGCACATTGTGCTAAGAATTCAAACATGATCTCACTAGGCGGGAGACACAGGTAAACTTAAGCACCTTGTGCTAAGAATTCAAACATGATCCTCACTAGGCGGGAGACAGGTAAACTTAAGCACCTTGTGCTAAGAATTCAAACATGATCTCACTAGGCGGGAGACACAGGTAAACTTCAGCACCTTGTGCTAAGAATTCAAACATGATCTCACTAGGAGGGAGACACAGGTAAACTTATGCACCTTGTGCTAAGAATTCAAACATGATCTCACTAGGAGGGAGACACAGGTAAACTTAAGCACCTTGTGCTAAGAATTCAAACATGATCCTCACTAGGCAGGAGACACAGGTAAACTTAAGCACCTTGTGCTAAGAATTCAAACATGATCTCACTAGGCGGGAGACACAGGTAAACTTAAGCACCTTGTGCTAAGAATTCAAACATGATCTCACTAGGCGGGAGACACAGGTAAACTTAAGCACCTTGTGCTAAGAATTCAAGCATGATCCTCACTAGGCGGGAGACACAGGTACACGTCAGCACCTTGTGCTAAGAATTCAAGCATGATCCTCACTAGGAGGGAGACACAGGTAAACTTCAGCACCTTGTGCTAAGAATTCAAGCATGATCCTCACTAGGAGGGAGACACAGGTAAACTTAAGCACCTTGTGCTAAGAATTCAAGCATGATCCTCACTAGGCGGGAGACACAGGTAAACTTAAGCACCTTGTGCTAAGAATTCAAGCATGATCCTCACTAGGCGGGAGACACAGGTAAACTTAAGCACCTTGTGCTAAGAATTCAAACATGATCCTCACTAGGCGGGAGACACAGGTAAACTTAAGCACCTTGTGCTAAGAATTCAAACATGATCTCACTAGGCGGGAGACACAGGTAAACTTAAGCACCTTGTGCTAAGAATTCAAACATGATCTCACTAGGCGGGAGACACAGGTAAACTTAAGCACCTTGTGCTAAGAATTCAAGCATGATCCTCACTAGGCGGGAGACACAGGTAAACTTAAGCACCTTGTGCTAAGAATTCAAACATGATCCTCACTAGGCGGGAGACACAGGTAAACTTAAGCACCTTGTGCTAAGAATTCAAACATGATCTCTCTAGGCGGGAGACACAGGTAAACTTAAGCACCTTGTGCTAAGAATTCAAGCATGATCCTCACTAGGCGGGAGACACAGGTAAACTTCAGCACCTTGTGCTCGGTGGACCCGTACGTGTATAAACAAACTTTGAAAAATGAGGCACACAACAAGTACCGAATCAAATATTTTGAAGAAATTAAGTTCAAGTACCGAAAAATACGAAAACGGGGGCATACGAAAACCGAGGTTCCACTGTATTAACATTATCTGAAAAAGTTTTTAAAACTAGAACAATGTCAAAATATTGCCAAATTCAACAATTTTCATTTCAAATAATAAAGGTTAAACAAAAATTGAGAGACATTAAAATATTGCTGAATTCAAAAACCATCTATTGAGTGTTGCGCAATAGTTGAGAATGATTCATTGCTGCAGTATACTTATCATTAAATAAAGACTATTAGTAATTAAGTTAAATGTAATGTAAGAATTTGTATTAGTGCCCCAGCAAGTGCAGCATTAGTGCCCTGGAAAGGGTTACAGAGGCCCATTATGTACCTCAGTAACCCTTTCCACTACCGCCCACAAGATGGGAATGGGGTGCATAATAAATGAACTAACTGCCCCAACATTGCAATGCTCTCAGCCATGACGGGCACCAATGACTGCTGGGTGGATAGCGCTTCAGATTCGTAGTCCTGAGGTTCCGGGTTTGATTCCTGGTGTAGGCGGAGACAAATGAGCAAAATGTTTCTTTCACCCTGATGCCCCTGTTACCTAGCAGTAAATAGGTACCTGGGAGTTAGACAGTTGCTACGGGCTGCTTCCTGGGGGGGGGGGGGGGTGTAACAAAAAGGAGGCCTGGTCGAGGACTGGGCCGCGGGGACACTAAGCCCCGAAATCATCTCAAGATAACCTCAAGAAGAAGATAACTTCATGCCTTATTTGTTTGGTTTGGTATCCTTAATTATACCTAGTTCCAGTGTTTATGAATTCACGTACAGTATATATATTCACGAATTCATGTATATGTAGGTAGAATTCTTTTCTACCTACATTGCATTCACTTACACTCACAAAAAATATTGTTTTGGTGTGATCTTACAATATTTTAGTACCTTGAGGTTACCTTGAGGTGCTTCCGGGGCTTAGCGTCCCCGCGGCCCGGTCGTCGACCAGGCCTCCTGGTTGCTGGACTGATCAACCAGGCTGTTAGACGCGGCTGCTCGCAGCCTGACGTATGTTTTTTATTCAAGCATGAAGTAGTAGAACAAATTCTGCCTCGTTAAATAGTAAAATGTTATAGTAATACCATCTTGTGTATTAACTTTAGTTAACACAAACTAACCCTAACTTAATTAGGGTTAACTTAATTAACGAGGCCCCTAACTTAATTAGGGGCCTCGTAGCCTGGTGGATAGCGCGCAGGACTCGTAATTCTGTGGCGCGGGTTCGATTCCCGCACGAGGCAGAAACAAATGGGCAAAGATTCTTTCACCCTGAATGCCCCTGTTACCTAGCAGTAAATAGGTACCTGGGTGTTAGTCAGCTGTCACGGGCTGCTTCCTGGGGGTGGAGGGCTGGTCGAGGACCGGGCCGCGGGGACACTAAAGCCCCGAAATCATCTCAAGATAATCTCAAGAAACTTTAAAAAACAGTATTGAAATATTTGAAATATTTCTGGGATGGTAGTAACAGTATCTGAACATTTCAAAATGTTAATAATTGTTGATTTTTTAATAAATATATACTTTAGGATAGGCATGAAGGTATACAACTTTATCCTCAAAATTCACTAGTGCATGTAGAAATAGAGGCAATAATACTGGAGAAACAATGGTTAATAATTGTATATCTTTGCTAATGTCTTTGTTTAATCCATAGACAGGGTTCCAAAGGTTCAATCTGTAACAGAAAATGGGAGAATTCTTTTTTAATACTGTACCATCGATAGAGCATAGTGTTGATTGTAATGACACGGCAATTGTAATAATTGTAATGACACGGCAATTGTAATGACACGGCAATTATAATGATTGTAATGAACCTCGCTGCCTCCCTGAAGCTATACAATGAGATGGATTCCATCTACCATGTCTCATCAGCTGTGGAGTTCTATAGGCCTACCAGGGACCCATGCCAGAACCTGGGGTCAGATTCACAAAGCAGTTACGCAAGCACTTGCGAACCTGGAGCCAGATTCACGAAGCCGTTACGCAAGCACTTACAAACCTGTCCATCTTTTCTCAATCTTTGGCGGCTTTGTTTGCAATTATTAAACAGTTAATGAGCTCCGAAGCACCAGGAGGCTGTTTATAACAATAACAACAGTTGATTGGCAAGTTTTCATGCTTGTAAACTGTTTAATAAATGTAACCAAAGCCGTCAAAGATTGAGGAAAGATGTACACGTTCGTAAGTACTTGCGTAACTGCTTCGTAAATCTGGGCCCAGGTCCGTAAGTACAGTACTCGCGTAACTGCTTTGTGAATCTGGCCCCAGGTTCGTAAGTGCTTGCGTAACTGCTTTGTGAATCTGACCCCAGGTTCATAAGTGCTTGCGTAACTGCTTTGTGAATCTGACCCCAGGTTCGTAAGTGCTTGCGTAACTGCTTTGTGAATCTGGCCCCAGGTTCGTAAGTGCTTGCGTAACTGCTTTGTGAATCTGACCCCAGGTTCGTAAGTGCTTGCGTAACTGCTTTGTGAATCTGACCCCAGGTTCGTAAGTGCTTGCGTAAATGCTTCGTGAATCTGACCCCAGGTTCGTAAGTGCTTGCGTAAATGCTTCGTGAATCTGACCCCTGGCTTGCAGGAGTCCCACTCTGCAACTTAATAGCAGTCAGGCACATTGTGGTTAGGTTGTTTACCAAGTTACAATGATCTGGTTACATTAGGGTACTTAATTTTTTCAAGAAATAGGACTATCTTATCTTGAGGTTATCTTGAGATGATTTCGGGGCTTTAGTGTCCCGCGGCCCGGTCCTCGACCAGGCCTCCACCCCCAGGAAGCAGCCCGTGACAGCTGACTAACACCCAGGTACCTATTTTACTGCTAGGTAACAGGGGCATAGGGTGAAAGAAATTCTGCCCATTGTTTCTCGCTGGCGCCTGGGATCAAACCCAGGACCACAGGATCACAAGTCCAGCGTGCTGTCCGCTCGGCTGACCGGCTCCTCAAGACTAGGGGACATCGGTGGAAACTGGACTTGTAGTTGAGTCAGAGAGATGTAAGGAAGTTCTTGTTCCCTGTACAGATGATTGGTCAGTGGAAAGCATTAAAGGACGTTGTTGTTGAAGCCAATTCTATCCACCAATTTAAAAAGAAATGTGATGAAAACATTAATGTTATGAGGTGTAATTAATGCACCAGGTATAAATGGCTAGAAGTCAGGGAATAGAAAGAGGCACATTCTGGTCCTGGCAGGCCATGGCCCGATGTATCTCCCTAGGGCTTGGCTGGACGAACACAGCTCTAAGAGCTACTGTGCCCGCCTCCAGAACAAGAGCGTTTCATTACTTTCGGTGCTTGATATTTCAATATTTTCATTGCTTCAACAGTATGGTACTTGAGTACCGGTAATTTTCAATATATCATGTTTTCAGGAACTGGTCCACGTGTAGTAACTGTGAATACCATAAATGCTCCGAAGGCTTCAGTGAGTGGAGTACGGACACCAGCTCCAGCAACGCTGGTATCTGTTGGTTCCAAGACAATACAAACAGTACGAGTAACACCTCAGGGTCCTTCTGGTCTTCGACCGGTGCTGAGTGGTACAAAATCTAACGTGATTGTTGTGCATAAAGGAGCCCCTTCTCCTGGAACAAGACCCATGAGCATTCAGGGAATCAGGGTAAGATGCATGTGTAATGCTATTTAAAATTTGACTATTAACCTTCCTATCTATGCAACAGTCTCCGTGGTGTAGTGGTAAGACACTCGCCTGGCGTTCCGCGAGCGCTATGTCATGGGTTCGTATCCTGGCCGGGGAGGATTTACTGGGCGCAATTCCTTAACTGTAGCCTCTGTTTAACGCAACAGTAAAATGTGTACTTGGATGAAAAAACGATTCTTCGCGGCGGGGATCGTATTCCAGGGACCATAGGATTAAGGACTTGCCCGAAACGCTACGCGTACTAGTGGCTCTACAAGAATGTAACAACTCTTGTATATATCTCAAAAAAAAAAAAAAAAAAAAAAAAAAAAAAAAAAATCTAGCGATTATTCAGTTTGTAAATCACTGATACTTGTTTTTATACGACACCTTGAAGTTGATCCACCACTAAAATACCCTACACCATTATAGTGCAGCATTAACTTTTTTGGGGGAGGGCTTTCCACTGTACTTCCTTGAGCTATTTTAGCCCAGAAAGGAAAACATCAACGGAGGAAACTGTGGTGCAAAGGGGAGCAAAATCAACAGACACAAATCCAAACAACTGACCTAGCCCAGAAAGCCAAGAAACAGACAAGACTGCAATCCGCAGATGGAATAGGCATGCGTAGAACAAGGTGAGCAAACCCACACAGTATGCCAGCAAGAAAGTCGGGTACTGAGACAAGCAGCCAATGGCACAGGTCCAAGAAAATGAAGCACCCACTCAACCATCCCAAGCAGAATGCAAGGGAAGGGCACTGCTTCCAATGAACAGAGTGCCAAGGGAACACAAAGCCAGTGTTACCCAGCCCTACCAAGAGTCGCCTCCCCGAACACCAGGCGATAAAGCACCTAAACTATTGGGATCATCTCAAAGCTCTCCAAATGTACTCGCTAGAAAGGAGACGAGAGAGATATCAAATAATATACACAAGGAAAGTACTTCCCAAATTTACACAGTAAAATAAAAACATACTGGAGTTAATGATATGGAAGAATGTTGACCAGACCACACACTAGAAATTGAAGGGACGACGACGTTTCGGTCCGTCCTGGACCATTCTCAAGTCGATTGTGAGAATGGTCCAGGACGGACCGAAACGTCGTCGTCCCTTCAATTTCTAGTGTGTGGTCTGGTCAACATACTTCAGCCACGTTATTGTGACTCATCGCCTGCATATGGAAGAATGAAGTGAAGAGTGAAGAGCAGGGGTGCCATAGACACAATCAGAGAACACTGCATGAACATCAGAGGTCCATGATTGTTCAACATACTCCCAGTGAGTGTAAGAAATATTGCCGGAACAAACGTGGACACCTTCAAAAGAAAACTAGACAGTTTTCTTTTTAGAGAAGTGCCGGACCAACCGGACTGTGGTGGATATGTGGGCCTGTGGGCTGCTCCAAGCAACAGCCTGTCAGACCAAGCTCTCATAAGTCAAGCCTGGCCCTTTGCCGGGCTTGGAGAATAGAAGAACTCCCAGAACCCCATCCAGGTACATTCCAGGTACCAGCATAATGCCAGAAAAGACAACGAGGACAAGAGAGAGAGACCAATATTATGATCAGCATCAGTGGGAAAGGGAAAGTGCAGAAATTAAATAGCCATGGAAAAGAGGCAATAGCAGCCATTAACAGCCAAGAGGCAGCCCCAAAACCAGCTTGAGGAACACAAGATGGCCAAAATTTGACACCAGATAGAGATGGAACAGGACTGTCAAAAAACACAGCAAGCTACCCAACACATTGGTCAGAATGGCAACTGCAGATTAAGGGGAAGGAGAGCTGCCAGAAGTCTAATCATATTAATTATAACTTCCATGGAGTGCAGCACCTGCAATGCAGGGCCACACACCACTGATAAAACTACGTAGAAAGGGAAAACCTGCAACAATGAGAGTTTCAAGGCAACCACCCATCCAAGAACTAACCAAACACAGAGCAGCTGCACATTGATGAGTGGATGGGAAATGGCATCAGCTATGAGAGGCAGCTGGTTGCAAAAGGGGTCGCCAGGAGGAAGCAGCCACAGGAAATAAGAATGAAGGTAACTACAGAAAGCCTATTGGCCCATAAGAGGCAGCTCCTATTAATATCCACCCAATCTCATTCATATACTTACTAGGGAGCCGGTCGGCCGAGCGGACAGCACACTGGACTTGTGATCCTGTGGTCCCGGGTTCGATCCCGGGCGCCGGCGAGAAACAATGGGCAGTTTCTTTCACCCTATGCCCCTGTTACCTAGCAGTAAAATAGGTACCTGGGTGTTAGTCAGCTGTCACGGGCTGCTTCCTGGGGGGTGGAGGCCTGGTCGAGGAGCGGGCCGCGGGGACACTAAAGCCCCGAAATCATCTCAAGAAAACATCAAGAAGATACATGTCTTTTTGAAAAGGGGCACTTTTTAGTGCATTAGTGTGTGCTAGGGAAGAATATTCTTGCATACTAACAGCCCCATTCAAAAGTGGAGAAATTGCTGACCTGCAGAACATGCTGGATTCTTTTACAGACCGAAACTATTTAATAAATCATCTAAATTATCGAAAACTAATAAAATTTCCCATACTGTATTCTCTAGAGCACAAGCAAGAGAGAGAGATATAATAATTTACACTTGGAAAATATTAATGGTTCCAAATTTACACATTAAAATAACTCCTTACTAAACCAGAAGACATGACAGGAAGTGCAAAAATAACCCCATTGAGAAGCAAAGGTACAATAGGTATGCTACAAGACAATTCTATTAACATTAAGAGACCATGACTTTTCAGCACTGTCTCTCCAAACATAGGGTCATTACTAGCTGACCTATTACAATATTCAAAAGAGAACCCTGTACTTGATAAATGTCTCCAAAGGATACCTGATTAACCGGGCTGTGATTCATAAGTCAGAATGTGAGCAGCAACATTTAACAGCCAGGTTGACCAGACCAACAGCCAGAAAGCCTAGTTAGAGACTGGGCTGTGGGAACATTGATTCCCGAATAAACAACAGACAGACTAGAAGTTTCGGGGTTCACCCACATGCTGACGTGACTGGAGAGCCCGTCCTCCTAGGGTTTCCCAACGTCAAGAAAATGATCAATTTAAAGTGTTCTCTCCTAACCTATCTTGAGGTTATCTTGAGATGATTTCGGGGCTTTTTAGTGTCCCCGTGGCCCGGTCCTCGACCAGGCCTCCACCCCCAGGAAGCAGCCCGTGACAACTAACACCCAGGTACCTATTTTACTGCTAGGTAACAGGGGCATAGGGTGAAAGAAACTCTGCCCATTGTTTCTCGCCGGCGCCTGGGATCGAACCCGGGACCACAGGATCACAAGTCCAGCGTGCTGTCCGCTCGGCCGACCGGCTCCCTCTCCTCTGACCTATTAGAGGATCCAAATAGAAAACGAGACAGAACATCACTTTCGGGAGCAGCTTTCATTTTCTAGTACGACAATTTTTGGCCTTATGTAACGCATACGAGCGAAATACGATGTTCTTTGTAGGACAGATTGGACTGGAAACACTAAGTTGGTGTGGAGACACCTACATCAGAAACAGAACTGATGAGGGGAGCCGGCTGGGAGCTGGGACCAGGCAATTTCATGAAGATAACTTCAGAGAGCTACAAGAGGAGGATTCCAGAAAATTACATCTCACAAATGACTCCTGAATGCATCTTAGGATGCAATGAATCCCGCACTCCAATTAATTGTGGTTGGTTTCTCACCGAATTGAGGTTGCACTCTACCTTAAATTTGGCAGCCAGCTTAGGCCTAGTTGCAAGTATTTCTGTTAGAAATAGTCAATACATTTCCCAATTGTTTCCCATAATGTTATGAAATATAAAGTGAGACTATTTCTTACATGGGCTGTGCCCCTTGTTTATAAACTATGAATTGTGGTACAGTGTTAATTAAAATGGTTTAAATAATTGAAAATATTTTTAATAATATACGGTTATAATTTTTATTTTAATTAATATGGCATGGTGGCAATTTAGGAAATACTTAGCAGTATATTGTATATTTTGTTACTTTCCTCAGGAGGGACCCACTAAAATCACCATAGGAAAGAGTCTCGGTGGGAGTTCCAGCACAACTATGCTACAGAAGCCTCTACCCTCGCCTCGGGGGGCTATCGCAGCTCCGAGTGTCGTTCCAATCAGCACACCCACGTCTCAGGGCAATGTCATTGTGGTGGATTTGAGTCCTGAGAGCAGCAGTGTGAGCAACAACAATGCTCTGGCTGACATTCTGCAGGCCACAGGTATTCTGAGTACTGGTGGACCAAGTAGTGTTGATAGTGGAAACATCCGTGCTGGTGGTGGTGGTGACGGTGGTGAAGTAGGCAACAGTGAGGGGGCAACCCCGAGACTCCCTCCTCCTTCTAGCTCGGTTCCTCTTCTGTCACGGACAGTATCCACTTCCACGAGTGTGCCAACAACCACTCAATCTTCCATCACTTCACACTGCCAGTCAATCAGTCAGTATTTTTTTTCTCACATTGAAATGCCTAGAAGCATAACAGTGTATGACTCGCAACACAAAGTTACCAAGACGAGTACAAAAAGTAGTCTGGCATATTCAGTCGCATCATTATTTGCATACATATCTAATCTCTGCACAGTAACAGGTTCCAGATCCTGATCATCTTGGAAGTATCATATTTTACTCTATTAGAATTCAATAGTTTTACCATCACCTCAACAGTCAAATGCCTAGTAAAAATCTCGGACATAATTTTGAACATCTTCGTGGAATAATTTTTAAGGACATTCCATTTACTGTACACACAGTCAATTTATCAGTGTAATTTTGGTAATGCCATGAAGCACAAATGAGTCAGTTTTAAATTTTAAATTGAGAGGAAAATTCACATAAATATTCGCTGATGTTCAGTGTAAAATCAGGTCTTCCTTTACTTTGTACTCCACTACAAAACGCATGTCTGTCCTCACGTAAACCACTGCTCTGACGTTTGCGAAGATAGTCCCCCAACCTCTTTTAACCATACACTGCTTGTAATCCCAACCTGTTCTCTTGCAAATTACGCCTTAATTTGGCCATTTGCCTGTATGGTCGAAAATGGATTTACAGTAATTTGAAAATGAAAAATAATTTAAAATAAATTTTGGATTTTTCGTTTCCAAAAAAAGCAAGTTAAGGGTCCTCTGGTAGGTTAAGAGAGCAGGAAGTTCTAAGGTTTCAAAACATAATGAAAACCGTTAATCGAAAGTTTCCTCTCCTAACCTAACAAGTAAGCCGAAGGAGCCATAACAGAAAATGAGACAGGACGTCACATTCGCGAGCCGATTTCATCTCAAATTCCATCCATCTTTGGCCATAGCGAGCGTACGGGCAAGTAGCGACGTAATTTTAAGAGAACAGGTTGGTAATCCAGGCTTCTGCTGCGCTCCGTATCCTTGATATGGTTTAAACTGTAGTAATTCTTTCTTCCACATCTGTCCATATGTTTTGTATTCTTCTTTTCTCATTTGATTAGTACTGTAAATGTATTTGAACCATCATCCCATACAGCTTTAACGAAGATGCTTTTCTTTATATTCCATTGTCACTAGTTAATTGTTGATGCTCTCAGCATTATCATCTCCCACTTAATTATACAGTACTTGGTACTTTTCTGTGGTGAGCCCCTACGGCTCCCTGGAGCTTATCGGGCTAATGTATGTTATATTAGACCGGGACATCAGCTAAGGAGTTCAGACCTACCAGGGACCAGCGCCAGAACCTGGCCCCTTCAGTGAGGTTTCTGGGAGCAATGGCCCTGGAAAACCCCCTTGTGATTGGGGTTTTCCTTATCTGCTATTGACCGGGGTCAGGCACCCAGAAAAGTAGGCATAACAAAACAAACCCCACATGGTAAAAAACTAAAACAAAAAACCGAACAGAGAGATAGAAACTCCCTACAGTTCCAACGAAACAAGCAAACATCACACTTTACTGCCGCACCGATTGTCCGCGCAGCCCTCCCCGCCCCGGGAGGGTGAGGGGGGAGCCCCGGACCTACCGCGCCGGCTGCCTAGCATCAGTTCGTAAGCTAATGTCAACCGGGATAGATGCTTCTCTGGCCTCAGTTTCCTAGGCGGTGTTTGCCTTGTGTGGCGTTCACTGCCGTATGTTGTGTTGTGCGGTGGCCAGGAGTACTTCATCAGTGCCGGGGCTGCATGCGCTTAGGGGCTTCCTTCCCTAAGGGCCCTGTGAGTACTGCCCCTGCGTGACGGGGTTTTCTTCCCTGGGGCGTTGGGGAACCATTCCCGTAGAGGTTCTTGCTGTTCGGCATTTGCCTTGCCCTTGGGGCCAGCTAGGGTTTGGGGCCCTTGTTTGTGACCCAGTTCTGCCTTCTGGGGTTCTGGGGTCCTGGGGTCTTCCTGGCTTGCAGACTGATCTTTTTGGGTCTTGGCACGTGTTGTGGTCGTGCTGGGACTTTGGGGTTTTGTTGTCGAGGTGGGCCTTTTGTTGCAGTTTTGTGGCTTCTTCGCCTGGCCGGCGTGGTGCTCTCTGGCCACTGGTCTGCGGCTTGTAATTTTCTTTTGACGTGTATGTGTGTGTACACATGTGCATGTACATGTGTACACTGTGTGTGTGCATATGCACGTTTGTGTAACATACCTTGTGTGTATGTGTATATGCATGTGTATGTGTATATACATAATATATATGTATATATTTGTATATGTGTATGTATACTTTTTGTTTCGGAAGGGGCTCTGTTCCCTTCTGTTGATGGGGCGCTGGGGGAGCAGCTTGCTCTGCTGACTCTCGCATGGTCCCGCAGTTAGTGGGCGCTTTTGGTTGTCTTCCTGCCTCTGGTGGCGGCGGTGGACGGCTTCTTGCCCTTTGGGGGGTTCAGGGCTGGCGGGATGGGCTTCTTTCCCTGTGCTTCGTCATGTCATCTTCGTGGGTGCATTGGACGTGGTCGATCCGCCCCCATCCTTCTGAGGTTCCCGTCTGCTGTATGCAGACATGGGCCTGTCGATTCTGCGGTTCTTCTGAACTTCTTCAGTCTGTGCCCTGGATTCTATTCCCTCATTGGAGGACTGTTGTCTCCTGTCCGGCTTCTGTTAGGGCCGGGTGCCTGGATGGTGGCCCTGGACCTCCAGGTCAATTCTTGGCACGTTCCTCTCCAGTTTTCCGGGACTGGCACAGTTGGTGGTGGGGCTTCAGGCTTACTGCTTTTGTTGCCTTCCCTATTTTGTAATTGGCACTTGGTGTATTTACGCATCTTTACCAGATCTTAGTGCCCTGTCTGAGTCTGCTTGGGATTCGGTGTCTGGGCCACCTCGATGACTGGCTGGTGTGGGCTCCCAGTCAGTCCGCTTGTCTGCTCGCCAGGGGTGTGGTTCTTTCCAGATCGCCGGGTTTGGTTTCCTGGTGATCTGGAGGCCGTTCCATTTGTTTCCGTCCCGGGTTCGGACCTGGCTGGGTCTTGTTTAGGGCTCTTGGGCCACTCTTTGTCTTTCCTTCCAGAAGTGTTGCTGCGGCTGTGGTCCCGCCTTCGGCAGTTCATGAGGGGGTCCCGGGTTGCTCGGCGGTTGCTCGAGCAGTTGTGCGGGAGTCTGAACTTCGACGTGCTGGTCTGCCCGCAGAGTCGGGTTTGGCTTCGGTGTCTGTTTGGTTCCTTCGGAGACTTCCCTTCCGCCTCTCTTGCAATCGTTGGGTTCGTTCCTCCGAGGATCTTGTGTTGGTGCTGCGTCACCAGCTTCCTCTTTGGGGTTTTCGGGGTTCCATGCCTTGGCACCTCCCCGAGCCTTCGCTCGATGTGTTCACGGACGGGTCATCTCTCGGCTGGGGCTTTGTGACCAGTGCTCACCAGGTCGGTCGGGGATGGTAGGGTCTGTCCGTCCGTTGGGCTCACAGCACGGTTCGGGAGTTCGTGGCTGTTTGGTTTGCGCTTCGGAGGGTTTGGGTCACTCGGTGCTCTACCATTCAGCTCCATTCGGACTGTTCTCTGGCGGTTCTTTGCCGGACCCACAGGGTTTCTCTTAGGTGTTTGACCTTTGGGGTTGGTCCCTTAGAGTGGCTCGTTTGCTGGATTCTCGGGGTTTGGCTAACCGTGAGGTTCATGTCCGGGGTGTGTCCTGCGTCCCGGTGGACAGCTATCTCGGTTAATTCCTCTGTTCGCGGGCTGGCCAGTCGTCGCCGACTCGTTTCGTTGGCTCTGCCGGACGTATGGACTCTTGGCCATGGACGAGTCGACGTGGTCTAGGCGTCGCCCATTCTATGTGACGCCCTTACCCACCTGCGAGGCGTTCACGGTGGATGCCTTTCGGCAGGACTGGTTGAGGTGGGGGTACCTGTTCCTCTTCTCCCGGTCCAGCTGTTGGTTCGGGTTCTGGCTCGGTTGGAGCTCATTCCCACGAGAGTATTCCTTATGGTCCCTTGGTAGCCGGCCCAGTTTTATTTTCAGACACTGCTTGATAGGTGTCCGAACCCGGGGCGTTTTCCCGCGGCTCCGCCTCTTTCAGCAGGTTAGACCGGTCCTGTACGTGACTGGTTCGGACTTCTCCTCGGCTCTTCGCGTCTGGTATTTTGACGCGGGTATCACCATCTCTGTGGTGATCAGGTGGCTTTATTGATGGTGTCCCACCTGCGAGCTTCGTCTCGGCGACAGTATGACGTTCCTGGTGTTTCTATGCACTTTTTCTTGCTCTTCGTAGGTTGTCTTCTCTTTTGCATGGGGTTGTCTTGTCCTTTCTTGGGTTTTCAGGATTACAGTTTTGATGTTTCTTACTGTCGCCTCGTTTTGTGCGGCGCTGGTGGAGCCGCTCTGTCTTGTGTTCGGGGTGGACGTCACACCTGCCCCGTTTCGTATGCTTTCTCGTGTTTTGTTTCACCTCCGGCCTACTCATGCGTCGCTTGAGCCATCCTGGTCCTTGATCAGGGTGCCTTCTTATCTTCTCCTCAGTTTGTGGTAGCCCCTTCGGTTCAGGTTTCTGCTCTTTGGTACTGGTGGTAGGTTTGTACGTTTGCAGCCTTTCTCCGTCCTTCTGGCAACGGTCGAGACAGCTGCTTTCTGGAGGGGTTCTTGGGTTATTGATGCTTGATTGGTTCGCCCGGGGGTGCGTCCTGTATTGTCTGGTTGCGCTTTTTTGCCGTTACCTGCGTACCGTGTCTGGGGATGCGCTTTGGGTTGATCCGGTTCCCCTCGTTCCCTGTTTCAGGGCTCGGGTCTCCCAGGTCGTCCGCAGAGTTTTTAAGTCTTCCAGCCTGCGGTCTGTCTTTGTGCCCGTGCTGTTCGGACGTTTGCAGCTTTTGCTGCTGTGTTGGTGATGTCTAGGGCTCATTTCGGGTGCAGTTATTTGAGGGTTGCACAGGTTCTTGGCCACCCATTCTTTATGCGCGTGTGCTCCTGTGCGTTCTTGTTAACTTGGGTCGCAGGTTGCAGCCTATTGTCTTGGCTTCGCGTTGCAAAGTTTGTGGCGGCCGCCTCCCGGGTCAGCCCTTTCTTTTCCTTCTCTTTGA